CTCTCTCTACATCTGCTGTTTCTAAATGTTTTCTCTCCCTTTAGCCTTCCCTAGATTTTTCATATCTTTTTAAAAAATATATTTTTATTGATTGCAGAGAGGAAGGGAGAGGGAGAGAGAGAAAGAAACATCAATGATGAGGGAGAATCATTGAATGACTGCCTCCTGCATACCCCCTACTGGGGATCGGCCCCAGAAGCTCGGCATGCGCCCTGACCTGGAATTGAACCCTACCTCCTGGTTCATAGGTCAACGTTCAGCCACTGAGCCACGCCAGCCAGCTTGCACCGTGGAAGGCAGTAGTGTGTGCACTCTTCTTGATGCAAATGTGACTTGAATTTGCACAAGATTAAGGCAGTATGTTGTTTTTCCATTAGCTGTTTTGATAATGCTTGGCAGTGTGTTGGCATTTTTGGCCACAGGAGCACATATTGAGACCATATTGTCAAGGAATACTTTTCAGTCTTTTCCAAGTCCCTTTTCTGGGCTGCATTGTTCGTATTTTCCATTGCCGAGAAGCCCTCCCCTTTTCTTGCTCACATGAAGGTTTATCTGCCTATTTTCAGGGCCACCCTTTTCCTGTTGTCTGTGGCACATGCAAAAAGTCTCTTGGATCTTCCTGTGTGTACTTTCTGCCTTTTGTTTTAGCATTATATTACTTGGAAGAGCTTAGAACAGGGGTGGGCAAACTTTTTGACTTGAGGGCCACAATGGGTTCTTCAACTGGCACAGACTCTGAGGGACATGACTGATTAGGTACAGCCTGGAATCAAGTCAGGGGCACAGCAGGCACCTCGGGAAGCCAGGTCGGCTGAGAAAGATACTCATTGTCCTGCCTGGCTTTTCTTAGGAATGAATATGTGGCCCTTAAGCAAGCGGTTCTGCTCGTGACTGGGCAAGGGTTTCCCAGGGGCTCTGTGACAGATACTCATTGTCCTGCCTAGCTTTTCTTAGGAATATGTGGCCCTTAAGCAAGAGGTTCTGCTCATGACTGGGCAAGGGTTTCCCAGGGGCTCTGTGACCAGTTTCCCGTCTTCTCAACTGCCATGGAGACTTCCATCTTAAAAATAGCCATTGGGTGGAATCTTAGTGTAAGAAGAAAGGAAGGAAAAGACATCCGAATATGTCACTGCAGTTGGCTCCCCGCACCCTGTGACTATTTATCCCTGGAGGTTTTCATCAGGTTTGTCTTTTCCTTAGAGAGAAAGCGTTTATTCCTCCATATGCTACATTGGCTTAAGCAGGTGTGGGTCCCGGTTGAAATTGGTTACATGGTCCTCTTGCTTCCGGAGGGGTCAGTGGACATAGAAGCTAGGTGTGTGGCTGCTAGAGGCATCTCACCTCTTCAAATCTCAGCTTTGCCTCCTACTCACTGGGGAACATTGGGAAGGTTACTTAACCTCTCTGTGCCTTGGTTTTCTGATCTGTAATACTCTCAAGAATAAAGATTTTTTTAAAAGAAAAATAAATAAAGGAAGCAAAACCTGGCAGGTGCTCACCACAGCCTGGTATACAATAGTCCTCGGGACGGGCGAGCTAAGGTTTTTCTCTAGGGAGCATATAGCTTACCTTTGGGGCCTTGGCTCTCTGCACAGCAATGTGAACAGTTTTGTCAACAGATAGAAAGGTCATAGCATCGCTTCACAGCTCGGAGGCAGCCATATCTCATCTCCATCTAGTTGTCAGTTAGATCCAGAACATTCTGTTTGTGCTCCTCATCTGCCAGCTTCAAAAAACAAGGGCGTGGGTAACATCTGGTTGCCTCAGTAAAGAATTAGTCAAGTAATTCAATAATTTTCATCTTCCTTGTCCTCTTCTCAACCCGAGACGTACTTTGCTCTGTGATAAGGTGTGGGACGAGGATTTATGTGCTGGCCTGCTGCCCTTGGTGGATTTAACGTCCCCCCTCAGCCTTGGAGACTTTTGCAAAATGCTGTGAGTGTTTGGGACTCACCGAGTGCCTGGTGTGGACTTGCTTGCTGACCTGCCTGGGCTCCCTCACTCTTCCCTTCGCCTGCGGAGTCTGATTTCGTTGGTTGGTTTGTAATGTACCTTAGCTGTTGTGATAGGCTGAGATTCACCTCTTAACCCAGCTCGTCTTCATTGCTGGCTTTTTAGAGCCTGGCTATTTTGATTCATAAGAGCCTTGTTTTTCCTGGGCTCCCTGGGGGTGCAGATGGACGTGAGGAGGACTGGTTCCGGGGAGCCCGTGGTCAGGCTGGGGGTAGGAGGCATTGACGTTAAGATAACCATGTTTTTTTCTGTTCCTGCCTCACATAGTTGTTTTGAGGCTAATGTAATTCTTACTTAAAGTTTTTAGAAGATGAAATGCTTCGCAAATGCCAAGATACTAGAGCAGAACCTCAAAATAATGTGACACGTTGTTCTACAGATTCACACACCGACACACATGTGCGAGCCATGTCACATGGCTCATGGAATCCAGGCCCATCGGGTGGGAAGTAGGAAGAGCTGTGGGATGTGCTTCCGGTTGGGTGCCCAAGCAGCCAGGCCCAACTCCCAGAGTGCACGGAGCGGGTGAGAGAGCCTGCCTTCAGCGCCTGCAGCTCATTCACAGGGCAGCCTGGCGTGAGTCCTGGAGCCTCCCGGCCCCTTGGTTTCCAAACCCACAAACGAGGGGCCATAACTGGAGTGTTTTTAAAAAATACTACAGAGCCTCCGTTTTCCCACAAATAAAATGGAGTTAATAATATCAACTTTAAAGATATTGAGGGAAATTGAATTAACTTTCGGCTGTGATCTTTGGATTCCAGGGTGATGGGTGCTGTGTCTGATGGGAGGATTGTCATTTCTGGGCATTGGTTGGGGCTCCTTCTTCAGCCCATATCTGCAGGAAGCGTGGTTCAAACATGTCACCTCTTCTTACCCCGGGGGGAAAGGTGGGGATGCTGAGGCCAGAATGTCCTTGACTGGGGTGGGGTGCAGAGCAGGCTCCCCACATCCAACATCTGACCTGCTGCCCTCTCCTGCTCTTACTCTCTGTCTGAACAAGGATCTGAATTGCCCTGTGCCTTCCCTTCCCTATTGTTAAGCCGCCCATGACCCGAGTGCCGGGGCTCCTGGGTACTTCAGCTCACTCTCGGGCTAAAGCGCGCTTCTCACAGCCCAGGCCGTGTAAGTTCTAAGCATTACGGCAAATAGAACTTTGGGATGACAGACAAATACATTTGAGGAGGAAATGTTGGGAAATAATCCAATAGTGAGCTCCATTTGGTATTGGGCCTTTTATCAAGGCCACAACCTAAACCACTTTATGGAGTTAGGTAATAAAGTTATCATGTCAGATAATAAAAGGAGGAAGCAAGTACAGAAAGGAGGCCTAGAGACTCCTGAGTGGGGTGAGGAGCATGCAGGCAGATGATTCGGGGACGTTCTCCTCACTGGCGGGTGCTGGAAAGCTGGGGGCCCTGGACTCCAAGCCCGGAGTGTGGGAGGGGCCGGGGACAGCCGGAGGGGGGATGATCAGGAAAGCAGAAGTGTGAGGTCCTGGCCTCCTCCGTGTTGCATAGCCATAGGAGTTGGTTCGTCTTTTGCTGCCATGAATTTTAAAGCACTTGCCCTTGAAGACTTAACCTGCTCTTGGTTCAGTGGAATTGGCTCCCAAACCTCTCATCCAACCCTTAGGGGCACGCAGCGCCCCTTCTCCCCTTGCCTGTCTTCACAGCTCCCCGTCCCGTTCCCAAAACGATCCCAGAGTCTCTGGCTCGCTTCTCAGGAAACATGGACCTAGACAGTCCCTGAGGGCCAGGCTTTGTTCTGAGCTACAGAAGGCTTGCAAGTAGCTTTGCGCTGGGTGACTTCGGGGAACGCTGTCGACAGATGGAGGAAAAGGTTAGACGTGGGGTCCCTGAGCCAGGGTGGGCGAGGTCTTCTTCAGAGAAGTATTTGTTCTTCTTGGCCTTCCCGCCCCCCATCTGTCCCTGTCCCGGTCATGTCCCTGGTGGTCCTAGTCTCTCCTGCCCTCCCCCCAGCAGATGATTTTTCCTTTCTGCTCGGGGCTGTTCTGGGGCGGAGTGGAGGATGTTGGAGCACTGCCTCTTAGGCTATCAGACTCCAGCATTAGAATCTTGGAAAG